ATGATGCTCAACTAGAAGTAGCACATGTTGTGAGGCCACTTTGCTTGTAGCTTATGTTGCCTTGGTTGGCTTGGCTTGTGGCGTTTGAAGGTGAGGGAGTCCCTTTTATAAAATAAGGGCTCGCTCCTCAATACATAAATGATGGGCTAGAGTTGATGCTCACGGCGAGGCGGTTGCTCAGCAGGCGGCGATGCTCTCTAATGATGGTGAGGGAGTCTTTTTTATAAACTAAGGGCTCGCTCCTCGATACATAAATTTAGGAGTGATGCTCGTGGCGAGGTGGTTGCTCAGCTGGCGGCAATACTCTCTAATGGTGGTGAGGGAGTCCCTTTTATAAAATAAGGGCTCGCTCCTCAATACATAAGTGATGGGCTAAGTCCCCCAAGTATTTTTCATGAGGCCCAGTTGAGGCCCAATATATGGTACATAATGTAGTCCCCCAAGTCTTCGGTCAATAGAGTCTGTTGGCTGGAGACTTCAAATTGAATCCATGTATGGGCCGAAGTGGCGGTTGTTCGGAGGCGGTATTTGTATACCCTGCACTGAAGCTTTGTAGGTGAAGCTTTGCAAGTGAAGCTTTGAAGCTAGAGCTCTGTAAATGAAGCTTTTGAAGCTGATTGACATGAGTGATGCTCATGAATGTTTATGTTGATTGACATGAGTGATGCTCATGGATGTTGTTATGAGTGATGCTCATGAATGTTGACATGAGTGATGCTCATGAATGTTTATATATGATTGATATGAGTGATGCTCATGAATGTCTATGTATGAATGACATGAGTAATGCTCATGTATAATTTGGAGTACTAGGCGTACTTTTGATCACCTGGTTGGTGGCATGAAGGAGAGTACGGGTTGTACATTTCATCACCTGGTTGGTGGCATGAATGGCTAGTTGCCAAATTAGAGTACGAGTTGTACATCTCATCACCTGGTTGGTGGCATGAATGGCTAGTTGCCAAATAGAGCACGGGTTGTACATCTCATCATCTGGTTGGTGGCATGAATGGCTAGTTGCCAAATGATATTAGAGTACGGGTTGTACATTTCATCACCTAGTTGGTGGCATGAATGGCTAGTTGCCAAATGATATTAGAGTACGGGTTGTACATTTCATCACCTAGTTGGTGGTAATAGCGGCGGGTTGCCGAATAATTTTTTTAGAAGTACTGGGCGTACTTTTGATCACCTGGTTGGTGGCATGAAGGAAAGTACGGGTTGTACATTTCATCACCTGGTTGGTGGCATAAATGGCTAGTTGCCAAATTAGAGTACGGGTTGTACATTTCATCCCCTGGTTGGTGGCTTAAATGGCTTATGGGCCTTCGCTCTCCACCACATGCCAGCCTTTTTTTTTATTTTTTTTTTATTTTTTATTTTTTATTTTTTTTATTACTACCCTCTGATGGGGTTTATACAAATGTTTCCGAAAGATACGAAAAATAGATTACATCATTCAAAAATAAGGAAAGTAAACCACATCACTCTGATGGGGTGTTTATTCCTTGCTTTTGCAGTACGGGTCCTTGCTGTTGCTTGTGTTTTTCTACAACATTCTCTCTGTTTCTGTCTTTGCGTTGCCAGAGATTTGGCTTCCACTTGGTGACGTTGTTCCTTTCTGCTTTGGAAAGTAGACAGCTCCTGTTTGTAAAAGCAAGAAGATACCGTTTGTAAAAGCATCTTTTCCTTTTGCTTTTTTTTTTTTTCACTTTGTTTCCCACTACTTTGCTCTTTTGCTTTTTGTGCTGTCATCTGCTGCTGGGGATCTGAAAGTGTTATGCAGTGGGCATCTTCTCAATGGGAGTGACAAAGCATCATCGTGGCCTTGTTGTGCCATCATCGTCACAGCAGTGCTTTACAGTAATGGCTCTAGCTAAAGCATCAAGGTCTTCAAGCAGTTTCCCAATTCTGACCTCATTCCAAGGATCCCTGTAATGCTCCCGCAATATATAATCCGTCGAAAAATTGCACAGAAACTTGACCCGGACCTCTCCAGCCTGCGGCGGAGCCACCTGTACGTCTTCGATCACCAAAGGCTTATCGGGTTCCCAGGCCATCGCTGCTTTGTTGGTGACGACTTGACCTTGGGTAACCATGGATTTGAATCTACTTGTCGAGCTCCTGCCATTTATTGAGAATCTGGGTGCAGCCTGACAAGGCTTCGGTCCTCATGAAACCCATAGCATTGGCAAACCGGCTGTACGAAGCAATACCATTGTTGGCGGTGAGGATGACACATGCATACCATTATTGGCGGTGAGGATGATCTTCCATGGTTTGTTCACCATTTTCTGAGGTTTGTGAAGCTCACTCACTGTGTGTTGATCATGGTGCGTACGGGATTCGGCAAGGTCGCCTACTATTTTCTTCACGGAGGCGGATGAGGCCATGGCTTGCCTTAGAAAAACCACTGGCCCAGGTGGAGGCCCGTTTTGAGCTTTATCAGCACATTTGTTTTCTCTTTCTCTAAAAGCTGTGTAGGTGATTTCCGACACGGGAAGGGAGGAAGGAAGGGTTGCAGTGTGCGTTCAAGGAGAGTCCAAGAGAAGTAGAGAGAGAACTGCGGTGGGCTCACGGTATCCGAATGTCACCACTTTGCTGCTGCCTTTCCGTTGCTATCGGCCGAGACGAGTGTGAACGTTGTTATCTGGGCTCATGGATGGGACTCTCGCTGGGCAGAGAGGAACAAGGAGCAGCCGTCTGGACCTTGGGGGAGTCGACAGCAGCAGGGAGCGGAGAGCGTCTCTCTTGCTGCTCTCATGATCTCCGGCTGAGCCGCAAGTGGGAACTGCCGTGCCATGCTCGGGTCGCTGCTGCTGGGACCCGGTTCTCCTCCGCTCGGGCCGGCTTGCTGCTTTAAATCTGACGGGGGTAGGTGGCATGGATGGTGCTGGTGGCAGCTACTGGGTTTGCTGAATCGGGTCAATAACTGGGGAAGAGACAATGGTTTCTTCACAATCTGAGGAGAATAAGCCATTGTTGGAGTCGATTCTTCTGTTATCTTCCTTCTTTTCTTTTTTCATTTGCTCTTTCTCTTTCAATCTTTTGTAATGAAGCTTTTCAGAACCTCTCTGACAAGTTACCAATTTGACAAGGCTGTTTGTTTTTCTCCATCTCTAGTTTTCAGATCTAGGAAGTAGTAGTTGCAGAGAGATTAATTGTGAATTAGAGAGAGAGAGAGAGAGAAAGAGAGAGAGTGAAGGGAGGAGACAGAGATTTGGATCTTTCTGGGTTTTTGTGATTTTTCTGCTTTCTGGGTTTTGTAGAGAGAGAGAGAGAGAGAGATAAGAAAGAGTTTGAGAGGTAGAGGCAGATGCAGAGTCTGAAACCAGAGGCTCAATGGATCTGCTGGAGCACCAATTCCTCCAGAGCACGGTGCTGATCTTCCAACGACAGCGAGAAGTTACTCAAGTCGTCAATCGCAATCTGCATCAGCTGCGCGTTCGAAGGCTTCTTCAGCTCGTCCATGAGCTGCTTTATCTCTAGCCGGCGGTCGTTTAGGTCGGCAGGAGACAATCGCTCGACATCTCGCGCCTTCTCTTTCAATTGGACGGGATCAGAGTGACCAATGGCCCATTGTGATCGGAGTGGCCTATGGCCCACTATAACATTCGCTCAAGAGAAGAGAAGCCACCGTCGGCGTCAAGGTCAGCGATGGCGGTATCGTCATCCCGAGGCTGAGTCCGAGTCTAAGCCTGCGTCTCGTCTTCTGCACTGGACCACTATACCCTTTCCGTATTGTTAATATTTCGCTCCAAGGAACAACAATCATGGCACACTTTGCTAGGAGTAAGGTTTTGGGTTCTTGCAGATTTTGCAGATTCACGGTGGAGGTGAAAAAATGAAAGAGAACCGACATAGTTTTTCGTGTCGATTCCCACAGACGGCGCCAAATGTTGATGCACAAAACCAGAGCGGTTTTGGAACAACGTAAATCCGACCGTGAATCTGCACAAACGCTCAAGAACACGAAGAACACAAAGAACACAAGGATTTTATCGTGGTTCACCCCAATGTTTGGGCTACGTCCACACTGTAGTTGATTCTGTTTCTCTGTAATTGTATGGATACAAGTGTTTGAGAGGAAGTCCCCCAGAGAAAGAAGAGAAGGGAGAGGAGAGCCTCGGTGGTGTGAGGTCTCTCCTGAATGTAATGAGAGCTTCTCTTAGCCTTCTTAGGCTTGGCTCTTTTGCCCCCTTTTAGAATGAGGGGAGGAGTCCCCTTTTATAGAATAAGGGGCTCCTCCTCTTTTACAAAGTATGGGCTTTAGTGTGAGGCCCAAATACAAGGCCCAAGGCCCAAATATACGAGGCCCTAAATATGGTATAAACACCCTCGATCTTATTTTCTTATGTTTTCAATCTATTATTTCTATGCATTTTATTTTCAAGCTTTGTTTTATTTCAATTTAATTCAAATATCATATCTTTTCCGTTGAAGCTTCTCCATTATATTAGTTTCAATTTAGTTAGTAAGAATTTTAGAATCAATTCGATCTTTGTGGAAGGATATATGTGCTTATATGCTATACTATCATATGATTTGTATATTTGCGAGCACTAAAATCCGAGACATAATGGGGTTAGTTTTGGTTGTCTAATTTTCGCAAAAAAAAAAAAAAAAAAAACTAAAAACACGTTTGCCATAAAATATGGTTGTTTGATAAAAGTGCTTCGAGTAGAAAGTGTTATGAACTAACAGATGAATAATTATATAGTTAAAAATAAGAACTATAAGAACGTATTACATGGTTTAAATGGACTTTGGGTTCGTGCTTTCAGAAAAGCTAAAAACACTTTTGTCGTAAAAAATGGTTGTTTGATAAAAGTGCTTCAAGGAGAAAGTGTTATGAACTAACAGATGAATAATTACATAGTTAAAAATAAGAAGTATAAGTGACACGCCCCGACCCTGATATTCCCTGAATACCAGGATAGACACGTGTTGGCCGACACCCGAGAGTGACGAAAGCCATTAATTGATACAAAAGCTAAGAATAAGAAATAAATACGGATTATGAATTTAAAAAGAATGAATTAACAATTTAGGAACGTGTTCAGAGCATACAACTAAACCTAGTCACTAACAAGAATTAAGATAAGATTGAATGAACAAGGAGTAGGTCCTACCCCGAGAAGACTCGAAGATGCTGCTGCGGAAGTGCCTTGATGCCGGGATTCTATGCCTCGTTTCTAAGACCTGAATGGGGGCGCAAAATAAGAGTGAGTGGACCAAGTTTATATACATACATAGTACGAAAACAGTTATGAACATACTAATCCCCACAGTTAAGATAATGAAAACTACTAAATAATAAGTGATAGGTTTCTCAAAACCTCTAGCATGCCATAAAAACAATTCATATATCCATCTGCAAATCAATCTCAGAAAATCATATCATAAATCATCTCAGCAATCATATCAGGAAGCATAATACAAGTTGTGCTGCTAGTGAGTGCACTGAATAATAATACGCCCGGCCCAATGCCTGCACCTCAGTCTCTGTGCCCGTAGCCAGAGATATCTCCCTCCCGGCCCAATGCTTGTCTCCGTGTCCCTCAGCCTTTCGCTAGGGATTATTTCTCCCGGCCTCAATGCCAACACCAGATCCTCGCCCCAGGCGGCATAGTGTTCACTAGGTACGCACAAAACATAATTCATCTCTAAAATACAACTTCGTAGCATAAATTCATCGATCCTCTATACTACGAAGAGGTGTTCAACAATCATTTGAAACACATTCTTAGCATCCTATCGTCATCAATCAGATAGTCTACCAGAATGAGGGTTCTATAGAAAATACAATATAATGACAATAGTTCAAAATATATATAATCAATCATAATTAAATCATCATGCTTCCTGTAAGGTATTCCTCAAATCAAATAATTCTGCAAGGCATGCTATTAAATTATGCAATTCTATCAATAAAACATGCAATTTTCGAAGGTGGTCCACTCACAGATACTTCGAAGCAGCAGAATTCTGTGGAAAAAGATTAAGGAAGTCTCCACTAGCAACTTCACATAAGCACGAAAATATACAATTTAATCAAACTACCCAAACGATAGAATTTTAGGAAATGGAAATGGGTCTTGGGTTGAGAAGGGTGGTTTGGGCTTAAACCCAAACCCACACTCACACACACGTACTGTACACACACACAGGGCCTGCACACACACACTGTGCAGCCCAAAACACACCCACACACTTCATGCACATGCACGGACACACACACACACACAACCCACACACATGTACGCCAGCACACGTGTCACATGCATGCACATCACACCATACACATCACACAACACACACACTGTACGGACACCAACATGCCAAACACACACACACAGACAGCATGCATATATATATATAAACACACACACACAGACAGCATGCATATATATATATAGGGGTTTCTCCATTTTAATCCTTAATAAAGATTGAAATTCAATTAAAACCTTATGTTAGATTATATATTCATTATAGTCCTTTGACTAAATTTCCATGTCAGCATAAATATTAAAATTTATATTTTCTTGTTTTTAAATATTTAATGCGTTTTTTTGGTTCCTATAATGCCCCTATTAAATATTTGATTTTAATTTGCTCCATATTTTTTGCATTGATTATTGTCTGACTTTCTAAAATGATAAACATAATTCAAAAAAATATTAGTGATACATTACAAGAATTAACAAATACCTAATTCAAATTATTCATTATCACCATTCAAAGCCTAGAGGAAATATAAATAGCCAAATCATATATTTTACATAATCGAATGCACTTAAACCATGTCCTAATGTGCTTAAATCATATAACCTAGTCGAATGCACCTAAACCATGGTACTTATATGAATGCACCTAAATTATGGTACTTATATGAATGCACCTAAACCATTACCTATGGTCTTGTATATGAATGCACCTAAATCATGGTACCTATATGAATGCACCTAAATCATAGTACCTATATGAATGCACCTTAATCATTTAGGTACTATCAATTAGGTCTTATCCATTCGGTATGGTCGGTTAGGTACTATATAGTGTATGTCCGATTAATTTGGTACGGTCAATTAAGTTGTGATTTCACATTCTATTTTCTCAATTTGTATTTTTTTTCATTTATCTCTGGATTCACCGTCAATTTGGCATCTAAAAGCCCATTTTTCTTCTTTCTTCCGAATACAACGAGATTTTTGGTTTGTAAGTTTTATGGCTTTTTTGTTTGATCATGGTTTCTGAGTTTTCTGGGTTCTTTGATTGGAATAACACATGGAGATTTATGTTATAACAAACATGTTAATTATGGATCTAGTTAATTAAGCATTCTTGAAAAATTAATTATATATTTGTTTCTCTAATTGGTTTTAAGAGAGTAATAAGGGTAAATAGGGAAACTAAAAAATGCAAATAAATTTATTAAAAAATGATTGAATGTGACATGGAATTACTATAATCTGACATGGAGGACTATTTTTAGTTTTTAATCTTACATACGGTATTATTGAAAAAGTAATCTTATTTAGGGATTAAAATGAAGTTTTCTAATATATATATACACCTACATATAAACACACACGCATGCACAGCATGCATATATATATATACACACATATATAAACACACACACAGCATGCATATATATATATAATCCCACACACGCACAGCATCATGCATATATATATATATATATATATATATATATATATATATATATATATATATATATATATATATATAATCACACACACGCACAGCATGCATACACACACAGCATGCACCGTACCACACACACACTCTTGAACACACACACACACCTACGAACTCGCCGGAGTTCGTCGTCGGAACCGGGTTTTTGGCATAGAGAAAAGGTAAGGTCAAAACCCTCGATTTTGACCTTAAAACCAACACAAATAACATGATTAACCCCAGAAATTTGAAGAAAGAAAACAAGTATCACCTGGGTTCGAATTTGAGAGCTTCAAAGCTCACGGCATCAATGGTGATTCACTTCACAATGCCCCGATGATGCATGCAAGACCATAATCTTGTTCCCCGAGTCCCATAGGTTTAGAATATCAAGATTTGGGGTTGAATTGTGAAGAAAATGGCACTGGTGGTGGCTGGGTTCTTTCTCGGCACCGGAGAGAAGGGAAAGAAAAGGAACGGAGAGAATAAGAGGAATGAAAACTGAGAGGGAAAAATAGAGAACTTGGGGGAACAACATTCAGGAGTGGGCCCCACGGTTCACCATTTAATATAAAAAAACAAGTTTTTAAATAGAAATGGGTGAGGTGTTACAACTTACAATAAGAACGTAGAAGGTTTACATTGACTTTGGTTTCGTGCTTTTGGAAATGTTAAAGATACTTTTGTTGTAAAAAATGGTTGTTTGATAAAAATGCTTCGAGTAGAAAGCATTATGAACTAACAAATGACTAATTACAAAAAAAGCATAAGTGTTACGTGAAAGGGACTTATAAGTCAAGGTTATGTGCTCGATTTTTCTTCTTTAAATGCTATTTATATAAAAAAAAAAATGGCACAGTTATGCGCAATAATTATTTAGTATAGAATTTCGTAGACCTACCATGCATGATTTATTACACTACTATGTATTTTTTTTTCTTGAGAAATGCTAAGGGACTCTTTCAAAAGTAGAAATCTTCATTGACTATATGTCACTTCATGTTTTTTACACAATATTTTATAATGATGACACATAAATTAACGTTAAACTATGAGGTTACAAAAAGAATTCCGTAGCATTTCTCTTTTCTTTTTTTCTTTTTTCTTTTTGTCTTTTGACTTTGAAATTTCAATGATATAACAATTAACACAAAGAATGCTACAATTTTGCAGATGGACACATGGCCACTTATCTAAGTTGATTCCCAATGGTTCAATTAAGTCATGAGCAAGGGAAACCAATGGAGAATTTTATTTTCTTTTTGGTTGGGTAAGATGCTTTATTCAAATCAACGATCCAAATTGTTTATTTATTTAGTCTTCATTTATAAATTATTTTTGCAAAAAGAACAATTTAATTCGAAACTATTTACCTTTTTGATTGTTGTGATGAAATTTTAATATTTCTTAGAACATAATGTTCGTTAATTTTTTTGAACTCAATACATGTCTCAAACATTTTCGTCATGCATAATATTTTTTTAAGGATGATGAAACGCAACTTGAAAAAATAGACAGTTCGAATAGTTAAAGTTTGATGTGAAATAGGGCCCCGAACTAGTCTCTATTTTTATAAAAAAAAATGGAGATCTTTTTGAATAAAGGGTCTATTTATATAAAACAGAAGAAACACGCACATCTCTTTAGTCCCATATCCAAATGCATAAAACGCTTCATATTCCTATTCTTCTTTATCCAAGTCAAGCTGATCCGGCTTAATCCAAGTCAAGCTAAAAAGGTGAACACAAACGGAGCCAAGAGTCTCTCAGGCTAAAAAGGTGAACATAAAACGCTTCATATTGCTTCAGACCCTCATTTCTTAAAAAAAAAAAAAGAAAACCCGGACAAAACCTCTCTCGACATACCCTCGAGACACCATCAAACTGTAGACCCAGACATTTGTTTGCCAAAAATTTCAACAGAAAAAAACTGTTACGTTGCATGCATGTATTTGTAGACGATCAAGCTGCATTTACATGTTTCTTCCTTAATGTGCTATCTTACGCTCACAAGATAATTGCAAGTTAAACTTTCCGAAAAGAGATTGCAGATAAACTGTTTGATGAAATCCCTGAACCGTTTTCTTTCCCAACAATGGCCAATTTGCAGGGTTAGGAACTTAGGTGCCACTGTAACACATTTCCTGAACCGCCTCCTCTTGTGAAAGTTGGAGCTCTGTGATTTTCGGCTTCTGCTCGTGCTGGGATTCGTTCGACGACTTCCGACTTTCAACCCGTGCAAACTAGAAGTAGTAAGTGAAAACCCAACTTAAACTAGTTTTTTTTTTGTTTTACTTTCGGAAAAAATACAAACCCTTCTTAATGATTCTGCATATACACAGATTTTGATGTGTAGTGTCAAATTCAGTCAGGTCCCTTTTGTTAGTTTCAGTTTTCTTCTTAACCAAACTGATTGGGCAAGTTTATGAAAATCGAGGAGATTTTCACGGATAGTTTGATTCGTTATGTGACATACCTTTTTGTGGTTAAACATATATGATGTATACTCTTAGGCTTTATTCACGTGTAAAATCTTCTAATATGTTATGTTATCAAACTTCCATCATAGTTTCAGCTGATGATTGATAGTTTGGTCCATAATTTTGCTCTAAACAAAGAGAAAATAAATAAAAGAGCTATTCAACTTACAATCCGATTAGGGAATGAACATCCGACTCTTAAATATATATTTTGCACTAGAGAATTTCTGGCTCAATCCTTACACATTAATATTTCTTCATCTTCTGGGCAGCGAGCATTAACCGGAACATTGAAGAGAGAGGTGGTTTGGAAGTTGTCAGGCACCATGAAAGAGTTACTGTTGTTTGCATATTCTGACCGATTTGTACTCTCAGTTTCACTATCCGGTTTGCTGCTTTTAACTTCATCCTTTTGATTTGGGACTTGGACTTGGCCTTGGGCCTTCCTGTTAAGAAGAAGAACAAGAATTAGGAATTGTAAACAAATCGAAAAAAGAAAAAATGAATACAAAATCTAGATTCTAGAACTCTACCTTCTTCTAAGCCTTCTCCACTTTAGATGGAGCATGAATTGAATATTGTCAAGGAGTTGGAAATATGCATATCTCCACGTCCTCTTGAGAAGCAAAGGGCAACAGAATCCCAATAACCCTACAAAGAAACCAAGCACAACGGATAAGCCAAACCATAGACTTTGATCCTCATCATCATCCAAATCCTGGTTGTTCTCATTCTCATCTGCATCATTGCCATTACTTGGCAAGCACTGGTTTGAAAGTGGGGCACCGCAAAGTTTCGGATTCCCTTCGAATGCAGAGACACTGAAGCCTTGGAGCTGAGTGCCGGCTGGTATTGGTCCTTCAAGATTATTGTATGCAACAGTAAATGTAGACAAGAAATGGAGATTTGATAGTGATGATGGGATTTCGCCTGACAGATGGTTACTGTTGAGTTCTAATCTCTCCAACTTTGGGAGGTTGGCTATTTGGTCTGGAATGTTGCCGGAGAAGTTGTTGATGCTGAGATCCAGTTGTTGAAGAAATTGCAATTGGCCAATCTCAAAGGGTATGCTGCCGCTTAAACTGTTGTTCCTGAGGGAGATTACTCTTGGCATGTTGTACAGATACTTGTACTGTGAAGACAGCATAGTTGCATTATTACCGCGTTGAAAGTAGACGGGCAACTCAAGAGAACAATGGCATGTTTCATTTGCAGCCTTTTGCGATACTAATGCTTGTAGTCTGCAAAGCTCCTTTGGAAATTCACCCGAAATCAAGTTGTCATTCAACAACAAAAAGAAAAGATGCGGAAGAGTCCCCAACCAACCAGGTATTGTGCCAGTGAGTCTGTTAAAAGACAAATCCAGGACTTCCAGTTTCCCGAGCTTTGAAGTCCATGTAGGTATGTGCCCTGTCATACGACACTTCAATAAACTGAAAACACACAGATTTTGTAACCCGGAATCGACAGTTATATCCCCATCTGGCATTTCTTCACCTATAAAATTTTTTGAAAGAAGGAGCACCTTGAGACTTTTGAAACCCGTCAGTATCTTCATTGCCCCCGTGACATTGGTGAGTCTGTTACGGGCAAGCGAGAGGAAGGTCAAGTTTTTCAATTGAAGAATCTCAGGTCGGATTTGGCCCTCGAAATCATTTGTAGACAGTCGAAGTGCTTTGAGGGACTTACATGAGTAGAGGCTTATTGGCCATGTGCCAGTGAGATTATTACTTATACAATCTAGTTTAGTAAGTTGAGCAAGTTTAGAGAAATCGAGCACAGAGATATTCCCACTAAAAAAGTTGAATCCCAGATTTATTTCAACAAGGTTTGTGCAATTCATCAAAGATGGGGGCAGATGACCTTGGAGATTGTTGTAATGAAGGCGCATGAGCTTTAATTTGGAGAGCTTCCCAACATTCTCACTGATGGGTCCGACAAGCCCATTGGTAGATAATGAAATTTCTTGAAGTGCCTGAGCATTATAGATATCAGCAGGAAGGGACCCTGAGAGAATATTGTCGCCAGCACGAAAGACCTCCAATTTGGAACAGTTTCCTAGTCCGGGAGGAATTGGGCCACTGAAATTATTGTGGGAGAAATCCAAGACTCTAAGAAAGGTGGAACGAAGACAGATAGAGGAAGGTATTTGGCCTGTAAAATGATTATTGTTGACATTCAAACTGCTCAAATTCCAGGCATGCTGGAGGAATGAAGAAGGAATTGTAGAATTGAATTGATTGTTCGACAAATCCACTATTTGAATGTAACTAGATGATAGAAACAAAGGTAATTCTCCGGAGAGAAGGTTATAGCTCAAATCAAGGATTTCAAGGCAACTCGAGGACAAGAAGAGTCCAGCTTCCAGAGGACCGGAAAGCAGATTGTGGGAGAGATTGAGGTGCGAAAGATGCGTGAGGCTTCCAAGAGAGCGAGAAATGCTTCCTTGGAGCTGGTTAGCGGGCAACGAAACATGTGTTACCCTACCATCGGCATCACAAGCAATGCCTTCCCAGTGACAACAATCACTGGAAGACCAATTTAAACCAGAAGAAGATATATCAAAAGATGACAAAAGAGAGTTGTGATCTGCCTCCTTGCAACCGTGGTTTATAGAAATGAAAGTAGACAACACAAAAAACAGGAAGAGGACTTCATAAGGTATTACGCGACTAGCTTCCGGCATGATGTTTTTCGCTATGTCTGCACTGGAATTATATTGCTCACATCGTTTCGGGGGTATATATACACTCCTTTGTTTGGAGCAAAGGAGGTAGAAATTAACAAAGGAAAGAAGGTAATTGGGCGATGGTTCGAATTCTTTGCGCAATGTTTGAGTTTTGATGTCTTTGCTTTGTACTTACATGGACTTTGGCGTCGTGCTTTTTGGAGGAGCTAAAACAAATTTTAGTTTTGAAAATGATTGTTGGCAAAAAAATTTAAAAGGTCAGTTTTTTAGAGATTTGACAGGAGAAATGATTCATTTTTTTTAGTAAAGACGATATATTAATCATATACTGATGACTAAATACTGATGATTAAAAAAGAGAGTTATGAACTAATAAATGAATAATTATACAGTTAATGTAGAAAGGGTTTTTCCTTAATAATCAAATGTACATGAGTACAAGATTTATACAAGAGGTTTTTTCCATCACCATCCTATACTAATGACAATATAAATTACAAATAGATTACATAACGGACAGTGGTTACAAAGAACTTGTAACAAAATAAAGTACAAATAAATTACATAACGGAAAGTGGTTACAACGATCGCATTCAATAACCGTAAATTATGGGCGATAAGGCGACGACTTCAAAGTCGTTGAAATATTTCTTTCATCTCTTAGGAGGGTGTATTCAATTGAGAATTTGAGAAACTTTAATAGATTTATAAATTCATGGATTTTTATGGAGTTAATTGATTTGTAGAGATTCCATATAAAATTTTGATTCAATTCCCTCGAAATCTCATGTGGAGAGGTGAGATTTGTGGATGCTTAAAATACACTACGAAATCTCTCCAATTCCCTCTAATTCCTCAACTTTCTCAAATTCTTTAAAATCAATTTCTAATTGAATACACCCGAATTTTTAAGGATTTTAATAAACAATCTTAAAATTTCAATTGAATACACCTTGAATTTCAGATAATCACTTAAAATCCTAATTGATTACCCCTAAATTTATTGAAACAATTAAAATCCCTTAAAATTCCAATTGAATACACCCCTTAGTCTTTGGTTTGACTGTATCTTTCTCAGATTTAAAGGAAACACCAAAGTTAGAAAGGACGACTCTGCTTTTGTTTGACTTTGAGGCTCTGTCTCTATTTGTTTCTGCATAAATCTGCGAGAGAAAATTCATCGAATTTCATGTCGATTAAAATTTCAGGTTTTTGTTTTAGGTGAAGAGAAGAGCGAGATTCGAACTTTTTTTCACTGAGTGAAGGTAAGTACCCTACCACTTGAGTTGTCCCACACAGTTGTTTAATTTTGTTTTTTGATTTTTTGGGAAAAAAGAATATTGTGATGTGAAATAACTGTAAATTACGGAAACCTCTAGGTGCAAAGACTGGTAAATTTATTGAAAAAAAAGTTGAGATTTCACCATACAACCAATTGACAATATGAGGAGTAACCTAATTTACATAATGCGGGATTCAGTCTCGACATTTACAATTTTCGCATACATCTTCCATATTCTAAGTTGTATTATTACTTGCACTAATTCGAAAGCGGGGACCTGCGAAGTATCGGGTTGCTCGCAACGGCAGTGCATTGAGGTGAAGTCTCGGGTTGCCCTTGGGCCTCAACGGCAGTGCATTGAGGCCTTGGACGAAGACTTCGATAGTGTCACTAGCATTCTGTCGGATATATGATTTCCTGAGAGGTCGGAATCGTCTCTCCAAGTTGGTGAGGCTGGAATCTGGTCAGGAATGATGCCAAAGAAGTTAGTCGTCGCTAAGATCCATTACATACTTAAGAAATAAGTGTAGAAAATGTAGATAGAATTCAAAGCATCAATTGCACGAGAGGGTCCATACAAGGTTTTCGGATTATTCCTTTCCGACTTTGATGACTTTAGAGACAAGGCATCAGCTTACTACTAATGAAACAAAATAATGATCATATGTGCAAACCAATAATTGAGCCAACCCGCGACTTTAGCGTTTTAAGTCCATTGTTCCAATTCGGGTAAAGACAATATGTCGGATAGATGATTTCCTGAGAGGTCTGAATTATCTCTCCAAATTGGTGAGGCTGGAATCTCGTCTGGAATGATGCCAAAGAAGTTGTCGTCGCTAAGATCCATTACATATGTAGAAGAAAAATAAGTGTAGAAAATGTAGATAGACTTCAAAGCATCAGTTGCACAAGGGGGTCCATACAAGGTTTTTGGATTATTCCTTTCCGACATTGATGACTTTAGAGACAGGGCATCAAAAGTAATCAAAGTTCGAGAAACGGTTCATCAGCTTACTACTAATCAAACAAAATACTGATTACATGTGCAAACCAATAGTTGGCAACTTTAGCGTTTTAGATTTATTGTTCCAATTCGGGGTAAAGACAATCTAGTGCCTCGACCGAGGTTTTTAACTTTTTGATGCGGGGCATGCTTCAATTGAGCAGACATGCTTCAACTAGGGTTTTCAAATCTTGCACTAGGAGATAGTGAACCCTGTTTTTCAATTCATATTAATTCATATGTCCCTTCGTATCGCTATAGTTTTCACTAAAAAAGTAAGTTTAAAATGGTAGGTGGGTTTAGATATTTGTCCACAATATTTGAAATTTCTTTGCTTTCATGCAATATATAGAATGAAAAATCAGTGGTAGAGAGTGAAAATAGTTCACATTAGAAGGTTTACGTACCTTTTTTTTTTAGGAAAACTAATGAAAATGGCCTAAAAACTTTGAGTTTTAATGATAAGGACAAAATAAAGAATAAAGTGAATAGTACTAGGATTGACTTTTTAGTGTAAAAATGTGGTTTTTCGTTAAAGTGAACAGTACCGTGTGCTTTTCGTTAAAGTTCCCTTTTTTTTTTTGGTAAAAAAGAAGGTTTTACATACTTTGACAATGAGTCCCACAATACTTGTAATCACTAGACAGGTTTTTTTGATGCAATCATCATGCAATCAAGTTAAGGAAATTCGTGCATAACGTAAATAGGAGCCACTTATAATTTCGTTTTCAGTTTCAGTTTTCACTTTTATTAAAAAATGAAAATTAATATATATTTGGTAACTGTTTTTAGTTTTCAAAAAATGAAAATTGACAGCTAAATTTTTTTGAGTTTTCAAAATGGGAGGTGAATTGTCATTTAGTACTACGGTTTAATGATATTTTTGTTCACTTGTAAGTGAGACGTTTTAGATTTGATTCTTGCCAAAAGCGAATTTGGATCATAGTATTGCTACCACTAGACCGTATTACAAAATGGCTATTTCTAGCTATTAGATTGAATAAACCAAACAAAATCCACAACAATAATTAAACAGGAGTATGTAAATAGCTAAGTTTGTGTACAATTATCAATTTCCTTCAAAATTTGGCCTTATTTTTAACTTGCTTTTTTATTTAACTTTTTTGAAAATTGAAATGATTATCAAACAAGTAAGAAAAAAGTTTTCCAAATTAAGAAGAGAACTTAGAAAATTTAACTATTGGATGACAACCACCATTTCAACTGGATTAGTCGATTCAGATTAGAATTAATTGTAAAATCATATCAACTAATATTTCATTCAGCATTCGTAATTGTGCACTTTTGATTTTTCAATGAATTTATTTAACTAAACAAAAGCAATTACCGTTAAATGCAGTAGTACTAGTACTTAGATGGCCTACCATGTTGATTTGTTTCACAATTGTATGTTTTTTCTTGACTTTAAAAGCCAAGCCACAATAATTAACTAGAAGAAAGTTTCCCAGCAAGAATGTTGAGGCATTATCTTCAGGGCTGTAGAGTCACACATATTGATTCTTTTCTATGTTGATAATTTCTCAATGCAGATTGAATTCAAAGGTTTATTAAAGTCTTGAATCTTTGTCGAGGTCTTCGACACTTTTGGAACGCATGTTGGGAGTATGAATTCCATATGTGGGAGAGGCTGAGAGTATGAATTCCACATCGGAAAAAGAATGGACTTTGCATATGCTTATAAGTAATTAAACTATTACCAATATTGCCAATTTATGATAGAACTTGAACTTACTCCGATGCATGTCACGTTAATAAATCACAATACGATTATTGGAAAAGATACAGAAACTCTAAAAAATCTCCCATGGATAGGAAGGAGCTATACCACAGGATGTTCTGTTTCTTCGCCCTAAAGAAGTACTGAAGTAGAGATTTGTACATTGTCTAGGAATTGGAACTGCGTAAATCTTCGGATCTTAAACATGAAAGAGCCATAAGCTCCGAAAAATCGTGTGGTGAACCCAGGTGCGAAAGAGAAATGAAACCATGGAATTGGATTCCCATTGTCCAAATGACACGCCCCAACCCCGATATCCCCAAATATCAGGGAAAACACGTGCTAGCTGACACCCAAGGATGACGAAGCCATTTAAAACATGCATGCAAATAAAGAATATATGATTAGAACGATTATACCAAAACAGGAACGTGTGTGAAAAGTAAAATAGAGTGTGGATATCACACCCTTTTTTTTATGGGAACTTTAACGAAAAGCTCCCGGTACTGTTCACTTTAAGGAAAAACCACATTTTTACACTAAAAAGTCAATCCTGGTACTATTCACTTTACCCTTTATTTTGTCCTTATCATTAAAACTCAAAGTTTCCAGACCCTTTTCATTAGTTTTCTTTTTTTTTATTCCTCACAAGCTTGGTAAACGCTGGAATGCTTTGAGAGGAAGTGCCATTCCGTTTCTTCCCATTTCAGTCCGGTTTCGTAACCACGCCATCGGTGAAATGGGCCGTACTAATGGAGGGTATAATTATGGGTTGGCAACGTCTTAGAAGGTTTACATTGACTTTGGGCTAGTGCTTTTAGAAGAGTTCAAAGCACTTCAAAAATGTTGTTTATTAAAAGTGCTTTGAATAGAAAGTAGAAACACTATTAATCACTTTGGACAATTTTTTAGATGCAATCAAGTTAAGGAATTTCGATTAAATAGGAGAGTTATGAACTAACAGATGAATAATTATATAGTTAAGAATAAGTAGAAATGAGATGATCATTAATTTATTTATTTATCAGAAAATTCTTTATGATTTAACAGTGTGCAAAATTACGTACTTGATTTTTTCTCTTTATATATCTTTTGTATAAAAATAAATGATACAGTTACGCGCAATATTAATATAAACTAACGTAAAATCTACCATGCTTGACCTATTTCCCTACAATATTTTTTTTTTTCTGTGTATTTGACTTCAAAATTGCAAAGTATAGTCATTATCATGAAGAATGCTTGAGATTTTGGACATTGACGTGCCAACTTATCGATGTTGATTTTGTTCTTCTAAGCAGATTGGACTCAATGGTTTACTTAAGTCATGATCAAAGGAAATTAATGGAGCATTTTTTTTCCTTGGGTAAGATGCTTTATATAAAACACCATGATACAATACGAAACACGATCGAAACAGTCAATCTAAAATTCAAGTGGCCAAAACAGAAAACAAAAGCGTCATCTTTTTTAAATGTAGACTGGTTGTGGGTGTCACTCTACATTGACTTTCAATAATGCAAACAGTCTATTTTTCAATCTTCTTTTATAGTTTACTGTTGCAAAAACACACAAAAAAAAATCAATTATTCGAAACTATTTGCCGATTTGATTGTCATAATGAAATTTTAATATTTCTTATAACATAGTGTTCGTCAATTTATTTGAACTCAATTAGATGTTTCAAACATTTTCGCTACTTGAACACAAACGGAGCCAAAGTCTCTCTAGATCAGTTGTGAGCCAGGCCTACTGCATTAGACCACATTGAAAAGAAAAAAAAGAAAAAAAAAATCCGGAAGAAAACCTCTTTTGACATAACCTCGAGACACCATCAAACTGTAGACCCAGACAATTGTTTGCCAAAAATTTCAACAGAAAAGACTGGTACGTTGCATGCATGTGTTTGTAGACAATGAAGCTGCATTTACATGTTTCTTCCTTAATGTGCTATCTTACTCTCACAAGACAATTGCAATTTTAAACTTTCTGAAAAGAGATTGCAGATAAACTGTTTGATGAAATTCTTGAACCGTTTTCTTTTGCCTTTTTTTTTTTTTTTTTTTTTTTTCAGATTCCCAGATTGATTTCATGTTTCCAACAATGGCCAATTTGCAGGGTTAGGAACTTAGGTGCCTAACCCTTGCGAAAGTTGGAGCTCTGTGATTTTCGGCTTCTGCTCGTGTTGGGATTCGTTCAACAACTTCCGACTTTCAACCAGTGCAAACTAGAAGAAGTAAGTGAAAACCCAACTTGCACTAGTTTTTTTGTTTTACTTTCGGAAAAAATACAAACCCTTGTCAATGATTCTGCATATACACAGATTTTGATTTGTAGTATCAAATTCAATCAGGATCCTTTTGTTAGTTTCAGTTTTCTTCTTAACCAAACTGATTGCGCAAGTTTATGAAAATCGAGGAGATTTTCACGGATAGTTTGATTCGTTATGTGACATACCTTTTTGTGGTTAAAGATATCTGATGTATACGCTTAGGCTTTATTCACGTTTAAAATCATCTAATAAGTTACATTATCAAACTTCCATCGTGATTTCAGCTGATGATTGATAGTTTGGTCCATAATTTTTGTCTAAACAAAGAGAGAAAATAAATAAAAGAGCTATTCAACTTACAATCCGATTAGGGAATGAACATCCTACTCTTAAATAGGTATTTTGCACTAGAGAATTTACTAGCTCACTCTTAAATAGGTATTTTGCACTAGAGAATTTACTAGCTCAATCCGTACACACCAATATTTCTTCATCGTCTGGGCAGCAAGCTTTAACTGGAACATTGACGAGAGAGGTGGTTTGGAAGTTGTCAGGGACCATGAAAGAGTTACTGTTGTTTGCATATGCTGACCGATTTGTACTCTCGGTTTCACTATCCGGTTTGCTGCTTTTAACTTCGTCCTTTTGATTTGGAACTTGGACTTGGCTTTGGGCTTTCCTGTTAAGAACAAGAACAAGAACTAGGAATTGTAAACAAATCGAAAAAAGAAAAATGAACAGAGTCTAGATTCTAGAACTCTACCTTCTTCTAAGCCTTCTCCACTTCAGATAGAGCGTTAATTGAATATTGTCAAGGAGTTGGAAATAGGCATATCTCCACGTCCTCTTGAGAAGCAAAGGGCAAATGAATCCCAAATACCCTACAAAGAAACCAAGCACAACGGATAACTCAAACCATAGACTTTGATCCTCATCATTGTCCAAATCCTGGTTGTTCTCATTATCATCTGCATCATTGCCATTACTTGGGAAGCACTGGTTTGAAAGTGGGGCACCGCAAAGTTTCGGATTCCCTTCGAATGCAGAGACACTGAAGCCTTGGAGCTGAGTGCCGGCTGGTATTGGTCCTTCAAGATTATTGTATGCAACAGTAAATGTAGACAAGAAATGGAGATTTGATAGTGATGATGGGATTTCGCCTGACAGACGGTTACTGTTGAGTTCTAATCTCTCCAACTTTGTGAGGCTGGCTATTTGGTCTGGAATGTTGCCGGAGAAGTTGTTGATGCTTAGATCCAGTTGTTGAAGAAATTGCAATTGGCCAATCTCAAAGGGTATGCTGCCGCTTAAACTGTTGTTCCTGAGGGAGATTACTCTTGGCATGTTGGGCAGATATTTGTACTGTGAAGCCAGCACAGTTGCATTATTACCGCGTTGAAAGTAGACGGGCAGCTCAAGAGAACAATGGCCTGTTTCATTCACAGCCTTTTGCGATACTAATGCTTGTAGTCTGCAAAGCTCCTTTGGAAATTCACCCGAAATCAAGTTGTCATTCAACACAAAAAGAAAAGATGCGGAAGAGTCCCCAACCAACCAGGTATTGTGCCAGTGAGTCTGTTAAAAGACAAATCCAGGACTTCCAGTTTCCCGAGCTTTGAAATCCATGCAGGTATGTGTCCTGTCATATGACACATAAGTAAACTGAAAACACACAGATTTTGTAACCCGGAATCAACAGTTATATCCCCATCTGGCATTTCTTCACCTTTAAAATTTTTTGCAAGAAGGAGCACCTTGAGAGTTTTGAAACCCGTCAGTATCTTCATTGCCCCCGTGACATTGGTGAGTCTGTTACGAGAAAGTGAGAGGAAGGTCAAGTTTTTCAATTGAAGAATCTCAGGTTGGATTTGGCCCTCGAAATCATTTGTAGCCAGTCGAAGTGCTTTGAGGGACTTGCATGAGTAGAGGCTTATTGGCAAGGTCCCAGTGAGATTATTACTTATACAATCTAGTTTACTAAGTTGAGTAAGTTTAGAGAAATTGAGCGCCGAGATATTCCCACTAAAACGGTTGAATCCCAGATTTATTTCAACAAGGTTTGTGCAATTCATCAGAGATGAGGGCAGATGACCTTCGAGATTGTTGTATTGAAGGCGCATGAGCTTTAATTTGGAGAGCTTCCCAACATTCTTACTGATGGGTCCCACAAGCCCATTGGTAGATAATGAAATTTCTTGAAGTGCCTGAGCATTGTAGATATCAGTAGGGAGGGATCCTGAGAGAGTATTGTCGCCAGCACGAAAGACCTCCAACTCGGAACAGTTTCCAAGTCCGGGAGGAATTGCGCCACTGAAATTATTGTGGGAGAAATCCAAGACTCTAAGCGAGGATGAACGAAGACAGGTAGAGGAAGGTATTTGACCTGTAAAATGATTATTGCTGACATTCAAACTGCTCAAATTCCAGGCATGCTGGAGGAATGAAGATGGAATTGTTCTGTTGAATTGATTGCTTGAAAAATCAACTATTTGGATGTAACTTGATGATAAAGACATTGGTATTTCTCCGGAGAAAAGGTTATAGCTCAAATCAAGAATCTCAAGGCGACTCAAGGACAAGAACATCCCGGCTTCAAGAGAGCCGGAAAGCAGATTGTGGGAGAGATTGAGGTGCGAAAGAAGCTTAAGGTTTCCAAGTGATGAAGGAAAAGTACCTCCTGTGAGGCCCTTGGATGGCAACCGCAATTGGATGATCCAACCGTTCTGATTACATGTGTTGCCTTCCCACTGGCAACAATCAACTGAAGCAGTCCAGTTCAATGCCGGGGAAGACAGAGAGCTCGCAAAGGACTTGAGGGCGCTGCGTTCGGTTAGATCACATGCATGTATTGTGAATAAAATGGAAGAAAACAAGAGGATGAGAAGGAAGCCATGAGAGAATGGATGATCCATCTCAGGTTCAGATTACTCACAGGTTTTCTTCTGCACGCGTAGATAGGTAAGCATATGTGTCTGAATCTCCAGAGTATATACACATCTTCCGCATGACTTCAAAGTCATGACAAGAAATTCCATGTTGGTAAGACTCATGACTTGAAAGTCGTTGAAACTTGAAAAATTTTTCAATCTCTTAGTCTTTGGTTTGACTTTAGGCTGTAGCTTTTTTAGATTTAATGGAAACACCAAAATTAGAAAGGACGACTCTGCTTTTCTTTGAGGCTCTGTCACTGTTTGTTTCTGCAAAAATTCATCGAATTTGATGTCGTTTAAAATTTCAGGTTTTTGTTTTAGGTGAAGAGAAGAGCAAGATTCAAACTTTTTTTCACTGAGTGGAGGTAAGTACCCTACCACTTCAGTTGCCCCACAATTGTTTATTTTTGTTTTTTGATTTGTTGGGAAAAAGGAATATTGTGATGTGAAATAACCCTAAATTACGGGACTTCTAGGTGCAAAGACTGGTAAATTTATTGAAAAATGTTAAGGTTTCACCATACAACTAATTTACAATATGAGGAGTAACCTAACTTACTTAATGTGAGATTCAGTCTCAATACTTACAATTTTCGCATACATCTTCCATGTACTTAGTTGTATTATTACTTGCACTAATTTGAAAGTGGGACCCGCAAAGTATCGGGTTGTCCTCAACGGCAGTGCATTAAGTCTCCAGTTGCCCTCAACGGCAGTGCATTGAGGCCTTGGTCGAAGACTCCGATAGTGACGCTAGGATTCTGTCGGATAGATGATTTCCTGAGAGGTCTGAATCGTCTCTCCAAGTTGGTGAGGCTGGAATCTCGTCTGGAATGATGCCAAAGAAGTTGCCGTCGCTAAGATCCATTACATATGTAGAAGAGAAATAAGTGTAGAAAATGTAGATAGACTTCAAAGCATCGGTTGCACAAGCGGGTCCATACAAGGTTTTGGATTATTCCTTTCCGACTTTGATGACTTTAGAGACAGGGCATCAAAAGTAATCAAAGTTCGAGAAACGGTTCATCAGCTTATTACTAATCAAACAAAAAATTGATTACATGTGCAAACCAATAGTTGGGCCAATCCGCGACTTTAGCGTTTTAGATTTATTGTTCCAATTCGGGGTAAAGACAATCTAGTGCCTCAACCGAGGTTTTTAACGTTTTGATGCGGGGCTTGCTTCAATTGAGAAGACATGCTTCAACTAGGGTTTTCAAATCTTGCAGTAGGAGATAGTGAGCCCTGTTTTTCAATTTATATTAATTCATACGTCCCTTCGTATCGCTATAGTTTTCACTAAAAAAAGTAGGTTTAAAAAGGTAGGTGGGTTTAGATATTTGTCCACAAATTTGAAATTTCTTTGCTTTCATGTACTCAATATATAGAATGAAAAATCAGTAGTAGTGAGTGAAAATAGTTCACATTAGAAGGTATACGTACTTTTTGTTTTTTGGTAAAAAAGAAGGTTTTACATACTTTGACAATCAGTCCCACAATACTTGTAATCACTAGACAGGTTTTTTCATGCAATCATGCAATCAAGTTAAGGAAATTCGTGCATAATGTAAATAGGAGCCACTTATAATTTCGTTTTCAGTTTCAGTTTTCACTTTTATTAAAAAATGAAAATTAATATATATTTGGTAACTGTTTTTAGTTTTCAAAAAATGAAAATTGACAGCTAAATTTTTTTGAGTTTTCAAAATGGGAGGTGAATTGTCACTTAGTACTACGGTTTAATGATATTTTTGTTCACTTGTAAGTGAGACGTTTTAGGTTTGATTCTTGCCAAAAGTGAATTTGGATCACAATATTGCTACCACTATACTGTATTACTAAGTGGCTATTTCTAGCTATTAGATTGAATAAACCAAACAGAATCCATGACTATAATTAAACAGGAGTATGTAAATAGCTAAGTTTGTGTGCGATTATCAATTTCCTTCAAAATTTGGCCTTATTTTTAACTTTCTTTTTTATTTAACTTTTTTGAAAATTGAAATGATTATCAAACAAGTAAGAAAAAAGTTTTCCAAATTAAGAAGAGAACTTAGAAAATTTAACTATTGGATGACAACCACCATTTCAACTGGATTAGTCGATTCAGATTAGAATTAATTGTAAAATCTTATCAACAACTATTTCATTCAGCATTCGTAATTGTGCACTTTTGATTTTTCAATGAATTTATTTACCTAAACAAAAGCAATTACCGTTAAATGCAGTAGTACTAGTACTTAGATGGCCTACCATGTTGATTTGTTTCACAATTGTATATGTTTTTTTCTTGATTTTAAAAGCCAAGCCACAATAATTAACTAGAAGAAAGTTTCCCAGCAAGAATGTTAGAGGCATTATCTTCAGGACTGTAGAGTCACACATATTGATTCTTTTCTATGTTGATAATTTCTCACTGCAGATTGAATTCAAAGGTTTATTAAAGTCTTGAATCTTTGTCGAGATCTTGGACACTTTTGGAACGCATGTTGAGAGTATGAATTCCACATGTGGGAGAGGCTAAGAGTATGAATTCCACATCGGAAAAGAATGGACTTTGCATGTGCTTATAAGTAATTAAACTATTACCAATATCGCCAATTTATGATAGAACCTGAACTTACTCCGATGCATGTCACGTTAATAAATCACAATACGATTATTGGAAAAGATACAGAAACTCTGAAAAATCTCCCATGGATAGGAAGGAGCTACACCACAGGATGTTCTGTTTCTTCGCCCTAAAGAAGTACTGAAGTAGAGATTTTGTACTTTGTCTAGGAATTGGAACTGCGTAAATCTGCGGATCTTAAACATGAAAGAGCCATAAGCTCCGAAAAATCCTGTGGTGAACCCAGGTGCGAAAGAGAAATGAAACCATGGAATTGGATTCCCATTGTCCAAATGACACGCCTCAACCCCGATATCCCCAAATATCAAGGAAAACACGTGCTGGCCGACACCCGAGGGTGACGAAGCCATTTAAAACATGCATGCAAATAAAGAATATGTGATTAGAATGATTATGCCAAAACAGGAACGTGTTCAGAGCATACAACTACTAAAAATAATATGGACTAATTACTAGGAAAAGATACGAACAAGGAAATGATACCTATACTGAGGAGACTCGAGGATAACTAAGCCGAAGTGTCCTGACGATGGGATCATGTGCCTCGATTGTAACTCCTAAGGGGGCGCAAAAAACAGAAAAGGTGAGTGAACCAAAGTTTAATATAATAATACTAATAATAGGAAAACCATTTTCTTTCTGAACATACTAACCCCTTGTTTTGAAAATATATATAATACTACAGATAGGTTTTATAAAAACCCTAGCATGCAATGAAAAATGTTCGTAAAATCAATATATGTAATACCATGCTCAAAAATGCTGAAAATGTTGCACGAAGGCAAATCCATATATGTCATCAGTGAAGTACTCCACTAGGGGTATCATAGTTGCCCGAAGGCAGTACCTGTTCATCACCTGAATTTGAAGCTAAATAACCTGTCCATCACTCGAAGGTAAAGCTGTATAACCTGTCCATCACCCGAAGGTGAAATTGAATAAAATAGCCTACATCCACACCGACACTAGCTGTGGCTAGTGAAACTGTTTGACACCGCTTTCGGCGGTGAAGCTGGGGGTATATAATATATCATATCTCACTCCTCCATCATTTGTGTTCTATGGCCATAGGCAATACCCGTGGTGTGCGGATGTGCCGTATGATAACCCACTAGATAAGTACTAAAAACATATTTCAAAATCTCGTATCATAAATCCAAGACAAATCATGTTCACAAATCTATAAAATAAATCATCTTCGTAACTTCATAATATAAGTCATATTCGAGATCAGTAGAAATCCATATATGCAAATCCCATAATTCATAACCGTTCATAAATGTAATTTCAATAAAATCATGAATATTCCGTAAAAGCAATTAAACCATGAATTCGATATAAACCATAATTATATAAATCCGGAAAACATAATATAAAATGTATTAAATGCATGAATTATGAAATGCATGCTAGGCTACTATTTTATAAAAATATTTAAGTTATGAAGGGGTCCACTCACTGATTTTATTGCCCGAGAACCGCTCAAACTATCGAGGATGTAATCCTTTCCCGCTAACGCGCCTAAACACAAATAGGGACCTTTTAGTAAAACTCTACTAAAACGTTATAATTTTGGAAAACAGATGGCGGATTCAGATTCAGCACGTCAAGGAACCTCGAGTTTTCCTCCAAGCGCCGCCTTGCTTGGCGGTCAGCTGTCCCAACTTGCTGGAAAATCCAACAACTCAAAAAATTCTAATATTTTACAGGAATAAAGATCTCGATGAGAGGAACAACCTTCATACCTGTGACTAAGGCCAATTTGGTCGGGAAAAGCCTCAATTCCACTAAAACCTGTCGGACCCTGGAACTAGGTGGTTCTTGATTTGACTCCAAACAAGTTTCAACGCCCCAACCAATGCATGGGCTTTGTTCCTAAGATTGAGGAGAGTCTATTAGTGGTGGTGGTTGGCTGAGTTTGCTTCAGGAATGGTGGATTGCCGCCATGAGACCTGTCGCACCCACCGGTGTTATTCTCCACGAAATGAAACCTAATCTCATCGAGTTTAGGGTGAAATTCATAGCAATGATGTCGTGGTGATGTTTACAGGTGATGGTTGTCCGTAAAAAGCTAGGAAAACGCAGTGAAAAGCGTTGGAAAAGTCACTGAACACTGGGTCGCGACATGGAAACGGGTCGAGAGTCCGATTGGCTACCCCTCAACTCTCTTATTTCCACTCATTGCTCTCTCTTCCCATTGGTCACTCACTTCTCTCTCTTCTTTCTGATTGGGCGTCCCGCCCATCATTTTCTCTTCTTTCTGATTGGGCATCCCGCCCCTCATTTATCTTCTTTATCTTTCATCTCCACCATTGTAACATCCCACATCGACCAACGGAGAAGGGGTGATGTGCCTTATATGTACATGCTCACCTCCTTT